TCTTGAGAAAGGCTTTCTACCTATTTAGTTACCGGAATGATATATTCACCTCCTTCAGCCGTAGAAGGTTGAAAAACTAAAAAGAATTAGCCTTTTTGTTTGTTTCTATTTATCACATTAACGTGTCTGCATCGTAGACTATAACTGACGTCTCGTGTATCCAATCAGAAGACACGCTTCCTCAGGGCCTTCTAGCTGGCCCTGAGGAAGCAAACTTGACCCTGATTGGTTAGTCCCACAGGTTCGCTTTCATTGACTTTAAGTTACCGCGGGCCAGAAATGTCTAGAGGCTGAGAGGCAGATTTTGGGCAATAGCAACACATGACGCTGAGAAATTATTGGATAAAAACACTGTTAGACGCCAGACCTCCCAAAACTCGACCTGAAGTTGGAAGCTGCTCAACCAACGAAGTTTGTGAAAAAATAAACTATAAATAAAATAATAATAATAAGAAGAAAAATTATATATTACATATATTATAATTATATATCATAAATCATCCGTGGTACTGCAGACTAAATTCACGAGGGCTACCCAGAAAGATGTCCATAGAACTCAATGTAAACTAAAACAGCTCGACCTCAGCTGACAGAGAACCTACAGCTTTCAGAAATATCGGATTGTGTGGGGATCTTTGTGTCCCTTGTCATCCTGAACTTTTTTTTTTCTTCTTAAATCCTTCGGTTTTCTTTAAATCCACATTTTTAGATTTCCCAAAGACCAACTGAAGCTGTGGGAAAAGCTATGCAGTTCTGATAAAACATTTTATCTGATTTTACAGACGGTTAACTTGAATAACCGGGCGGCACGGTGGCTGAGTGGATAAGCATGGTGCTAAATTTGGAACAGCCATCTTTTGAATGTAACTGCACATTGTCCTTAATCAATTAACGTCTGAACTGTAAAATCTTCTCCTGTTTTAACCAGTCTTTGAGATTGGCGTGAGTTGAGCGTCTGTTTGGAAATGACAGGGACAGGCTGCAGTTGTAAGGGCATAAAACAATGAAAAAAATATATAGCCCTAAACCACAACAGTAGTTATCTTAGAGGACTTTAGAAAACCGTCAAATTCAACATCACAGATCAGAGAATCAACCAGATACAAGAATTGAGAGCTTATGTTGTGACCGCTGCAAGTATGAGATGTTCAGTCCAGATGCTTTTATGTTATGGTTGTACTCAGACATTCTATCTTCTTTCTTGACAGTGTCTTTCTCATTGGGCTGCTGATGTAATTTGGAGCATGGCCTACACTACCTTGCTCATACTTAGGTTGGAGAGAGAGCATCCTGATTTTGCAGTGATTGTTTTTGATAAACAAACATGAGAAACCCCCAATGTTTTGGTGCAATGCAGGGCGTACTCACCTTTGTTATTAAAGATATCAATTGACATAGAGAAGTCTCTTTCTTCACAATGGCCACACAGTTATAATATATAGTCATAAATCCTTAAGACTGCTAGAGTCTGAAGACTTCTGTCGACTTCTGTCCCCTCACGTCCAAGATGGAAACAAAACCACCTGTTTTGTTGTGTAAATGGAAATGGACTCTAGTTGGTATAGCAGATGATCTATCCATCAATTCAATTCTAATCAAATCAATTTTATTTGTATCACAATCGTCTCGAGGGACGTCACAGAACCGCCAACTCCCTACGGCAGGCTGGGGACCAGTCCTCAGGTCTAGAGTCCTTCCAGTGCGTTCATGGAAGAGACAGAGGGTCAACGGTTGAAGAGTAAGTAAGTAATGTTTATTTATATATCGCCTTTCACAGACAATGGTCACAAAGCGGTTTACAATTGTTATTATTGTTATTATTTATTTTTTTTGGGCATTTGTCCTCTCACTCCAGACACAGCAGGGTCGCCGAACAGGAGGCGCATGCCAGATCTATTGTACATATTTTTAGTGGTAGGGGAAACCGGAGTACCCGGAGGAAACCGGAGTACCCGGAGGAAACCTACGCAGACACGGGGAGAACATGCAAACTCCACTCAGAAAGGCCCTGGTCCGACCGGGATTCGAACCCAGGACCTTCTTGCTGAGAGGCGAGAGTGCGAGAGTGCTAGCCACTAGTGCTAAGATTGACAGTGAAAACTAGGTCTTTTCATCCTGCAGCTCGTGGATGTGACGGGTAAAAAATAGACTAAAATGAAAAAAATGAATGAATGAAATCCATGTTTCAGACTTTGCTATGTTTTGTTAGAGGCTCTCACATAAATCATATCTGTCATATCTAATAGCTATATCTTCTCAAAAACGATTATTCTTTATAAGATAATGCATTGTGGGAATTGACGGCTAGCTACCTATGCCTTTTGACACCTGTGGCCATCATCATCTGATATGTAATGCACCAAGTGGTAGCACTCCTGGTTCAAAGAAAGAAGGCCATGGGTTCGATCCCCTGTCAAGCTGAGCCTTTCTGAGTGGTGTTGGTTTGTTTGCATGTTTCTACTCATGTCTTGGGGGGTTTGCTCTGGGTGCGCCGGTTTCAACCACTCCCCAAGCTCCAGTCCTGCTCAAATAACATTACCTTTGGAGATAAGTCCATGGGCACTGAACTGTGGTGACCACTGCTCCAGACAGGTTACACAAGGGCCCTTGCAGGATGTGTCAAATGCAGGGGACAAATCTTCCTACGGGGCGATAAAGTATACCTTACCTTATATAGACGAGGGTACAGAACAGGTTCATCTATCTTCCATGTTATAGAGGTTGACCACTCCTGAGAATATCTATATTATTTCTAAATGTTTGTCTATATTTTGTTATTCTCTAGATATGTGTCCTTACATTTGTGCCAATAAATATACAGTTGTCTTGCTAACTATTGAGCCTGTGTAACCAAAGTTTGCAGGAAATCAACTCATTGCTGACTGAAATGCTAAAGAAAATGCTAAATCCATCATTATTATTATTATTGCTTATCATTATTTTTATTATTGATGACACAAACATCAGAGTGAGATGGTATTACAACACCCATAACATTTCCATTTTAATACCAGTGGAAGTGGAACCTTTTTCATCTTTGACATTTCAAATCTAAACTAGACAAAATGGTTCTATTGTCAGACATGGAGCCGCCCTCCCTGATCTGGGCAGTGTGGAACCAGCTGGCCTTCTGGGTCCACTGTCTTTGTCCTCGGCAGAAGCTTTGTGAGCTGACATTTATTACAATTCAACTATTTTATCCTCTCCTGTTCCCTTTGTATCAAACTGCTTTAGCTTTACCAGCAGAGATACGTGTATATCTTACAAACAACCAACCGTGTCTGTCTTTGTCCCAAAACCTCTCAGACCACACTTAATCATGATTCAAACATCAAACACTCACATGTGTAAGGTAGACAATTCCAGCTCTAAGTTGCCCTTCTACATTCAGACACTCAGTTCAAAAGCTGAAGAGCCTGGGACAATGGCGGTTCTCAGATTCCTGACTGATGAATGGACGGGTCGATTGCACATCTGAGAATGCAGAACTTGCTTTGCGTAAAAGATGGCGGCTGCCACATGTAGTAATCGATTATTATTAATATCGATTCCCACTAAATTCCCCCGGGCGATAGTAGCTTAGTTGGTAGAGCATTGGCCTTTGAGCCTGAAGGTCGTGGGTTTGAGCCCACCATGAGATCTTCTCCACCGACTCCCACTGCTGTCGTTGTGTCCTTGGGCCAGACACTTAACCCCACTTTGCCTGAAGCCCCCACTGAAAGACCAAGGCTATGCCATAGAGCGGCAATCCTCCTGTGGACTCACGGCCTGCAGGAGGATCGGTGAGAGGCTGGTGCTACAGTATGTGTCACCCCCCGACCCAGAAATGGATTAAGAGGTCGAAAATGGATGGATGGATGGATGGACTAAATTTCCACACTACATACGATGAGAACATCTGCACATTTCTTTTTTTTGTTTTTGTACACAATAAAAAAAAAAGTAGCACTTTTGGTTTTCTGTCTGGTACTTTAATAGAATACCAGAAAGATCAAGACCAGGAAGTCAGCTGGACGAAACCACATCAGCTCCAGGCTCCTTTGCTCCTGCACAGATGAACTTTGTGGAGTGATGGAGCAAGTCTTCAACCTTAGCCTCAGGCTGAGGAGCCTAAATGACTTCAGGCCGATGGCTCTGACATCCACCTGAAGAAGACACTAGAGAGACTGGTCCTGGGACACCTCCGCTCCATCTTCAACTCAGCGATGAACCCACTGCAGTTCACCCCCCAGCCGAGCATCGGCGTGGAGGACGCCATCATCTCCTCAATGATGGCCATCAACTTGAGTTGAGCCGAGTCATTTTACCTTATCTAATCTTGTCCAATTAATTGGACAAAAAAATATGCACTATTTTTAGGTAGTTGGATAGAAATTTTATTTAGTTAGAAATGTTTATAAGTGATGTCACATGGATGAATTTTCTGCTGTTGGACATCTGAATTTCTCCTACGGGGGATCAATAAAGTATCTTTCTATCGCAAGCAAACCAAGATCCAGACCGACTGGTCAAGCAACAGTTTGTGCGCAATTGACTTTTTGTGCTAGACAATCTCCCCATGTTGACCAAACTAAATTTTTTCAAATAAATTAAAACAAAACAAATATCTTATATGATGAAAATAAATATTGTAACGTGATTATATTTTTAAATGAATGATCAATGTCTGTGCATTGTGTGTATTGGAAACAGAGGTCAGTTAGAGGAAAACCTGAGAACTCAACATCACTTCTGGTCATTTTAACTTTTTTTTGTCTTAACTTTTCTTCCCAATAAGTGTACAAAGGGGTGTTTAGTCCGTGCACATGTAGACTGCTGAATCATGTTGTCGGTCTCATTATGTTCTCCACAGGTGTCAGTGACCTGCTGCACCGCTCATACTCAGGCCCTCATTAGAACTCTCATTAGAACTCTCATCAGAACTGTCATCAGTGAGGCGGCGCTCTTAACCTTTCAGACTGTACTCAGGGAACAGCGCCACACATTTGTATACGGCGTGCATGAGGCGCCGCGCTAAAGGTCGAGCAAACAGAGCCCTGCCGCCAGAGGACTGCCGCCAGAGGACTGCATCCACTGACGACTTCAACGTCAGTTCTACTTTTGACAAATGCATTTTGAAGCAGACTTGAGATTTGCAAGTTACAATGGAAACAGCCTCAAAAGTACATTTACTTCCATCTTAGCTTATGTTACAATCCAAAGCAGCGAACCCGGCAATTAGTTTGAAAGAAGTTATTGCTCTGTAGTGATGTATATACAGTAAATGGGCAAGTTAAGTAAAAAACTTCATTCATTCATCAGAAATTGTTGTTGTTTATATGGTGGAGTTGCATATAATAACACAAACTTAAAAGAAAAGTTTCTCCCTTTAAGAATTTCATTGCTACTTCCTGCTTCCACCTCAGCCAAAATCAAATAATCATATTTTCCTGAAGTTTCCATCTCTTCTCCAGAAATTCTTGTTTGATTCCTGCCCCACTCTTGATGTGCAACACCAGTCCCCTGTTGTCTTCTGTGAATTTAGTTTGTTTCCTGCATTCTTGCAAATACTCTATTTTTGTGTAAATTATTTTAAGGCTTGATGATTAAAGACTCTGGTTTTGGAGCCACTTTTGAAACAAGTCAGAAAATCTCACTCTCTAAGCTCTGGATCTGTCCAGCTTTTTTGGGAGGTCTGAGGAATCTTCTCCTGCATTTTTCCGACATCGGAACATCGCCATCAGAACCACAACCAAACTATCTCCATAATTATTTCTGTTCTGGAATTATAATTATAATAATGATAATATTAATGCTTCGGTTTCATTTACCACTTTTTTGGACACCACTCATTATTCTTTCACTGCCCTGGGGCACAATGACAGAAGTGAGGCAACCAGTATGTGCCGTCGGCCCCTCTGACCACCACCACCAGCCACACACACACACACACACAGCCACAAACACACACACACATACGCGTTTGCGTGACAAATGAGGACCTAGGTCTGCACGGTGACATATCAGGACGTGCCTTTCTGAAGGTCCCAGAGACCTGAGGATCACATAGGGGGGAGCAGGGTGTGTTCAGTAACACAGCTAGCTGTTGATATTTTGGTTACAAGAAACTTTTTTCCCGCATGATTTTATTGCCACATGAGGACCTTGACAGGTCTGAGTGACATATAAGGTCCTACAACAAGCACATCAGGTCTGAGTGTCAAATAAGGACCTACAACACACACACCGGGTCTGAGTGACATATTGAGACTTTTAACACACAAATCAGGTCTGAGTGAGATATCACACACACACACACAGCTTCTAGGCAATGTGGGTGAAGTGTCTTGCTTAAGGACACAACCACAGTTTGGCACTTTACAGTCTCCCATCACAGCACTACCCAGGCCCTGTCCTGCTTAGCCTCACAGGCCTGAGTGGACCTGGCTTTCACATGCAGGTATGGCCACATTATTCCCCATTCATAGCTCAAAAAGGAGTTGCCATCTTTTTATATTGGGAGAATTTCACTTCAATAATCTCTATTAAATTCCATCCTGCATGTGACAAGCTTTATTTTGACTAAATTATTTGACCCCTACCCTTTTTGAGCTTTGACAGGAGAGAAAAAAGGACACTCTTAATGTTTCTATCATGTATAATGTGTAATTGCTGTAATTGCTAAATTCTACAATTAATTAAAATCTTGAAATTAATCCAATCAATCAATCAAAACTCAATTTTTTGTCTGCCGGATCTATCCTCCATTAAAGAAAACCTATACATCTTCTTGTCTGAGTCTTTCCAAATCATTTACACTCTGACAGGAAAGTTGAATAAACAGTCAATTCACAAAGACAAACAAACATCATTGAGTCGTCAGCCAATTTAAAAGTTTATCCAAAAGCAGTGGTTCTGTTGCATCAGTCCCAGTAGCCTGTCCCGCTCTGTCTCCAGGGGCTTTGTGTTGACATTAAAGGCTGTCGGTGGAGGACGTTTAGCATAGAAATGAGCACCGAGAAGAGAAGAGCGATGGTGCCCCTGCCGCTGCCACACGCCCAGGGTCCACCATCCGTCCGGGCAGATGTGCCTGGGGCCGCTCGTATCCGCCGTGATGGATCCGCCTGGGAGCCTCGTTACGCAGGATGGAGACGTGACACGCTGAGGCTGAATCACGGCCGCTATCTTTAAATGCGAGACCCGGAGAGGGGACGTGTAAATCAGTCTGAGTGATGGAGGGATGGGTGGGGGTCAGGGAGGAGGTGATGGGAGAGGAGAATTACGCTACTTGTGCAATACTATCCTTTGTGGGCTGGGGACAGCCCACAAAGGCAGCAATGGGTCTGCACATAATCTAACATGATGATAAAAGAGCCCGATATTAATACAAATCAATTCAACTCTGCCCTACGTACATCACAACAGTAGTTAACTCGGAGGACTTCACAAACTGTCAAATACCAAATCAGAATCAAAGAGTAAAAAAAAAAATGCTATGATAAAAAAACACATAGAGCCATTGGTCCATAAATGTTTTTTTATTTTTGTAAATTATATTTTATTAGTTTTCCTTTGCAGTCAAATATTATTACATTCAACAGACAGTATAACCGCAGTTATTTGAACATAAAATAAGAGAAAAGGAGAAAATAAACAAAAACAGATAATGAATCTAGAGTTAAAATAAAAAATAAAATAAAAATAATTAATGTTGTCCATAATTGATGATAATTTCCAAAAATGTAGTTGAATTAATCCTTACATAACCTTCAGAGACTTTGAAATAGTTTTGAAAGTACTTTAATAGTTGATTTTAAAAACGCATATCGGGACAAATCTCTCATCATGGCGTCTATAGACAATGCCATTAACCTGGCCCTCCACTCCATCTTGCAGCATCTCGACTCCCCGGGGACCTACGCCAGGGTCCTGTTCATGGACTTCAGCTCTGCTTTCAACACCATCCTACCATCCCTGCTCCAGGACAAGCTCTCCCAGCTCAACGTGCCCAATTACACCTGCAGGTGGATCACTGACTTCCTGACAGACAGGAAGCAGCAAGGGCTTTCTCGGACTCTACAATTATAAATACAGGATCTCCACAGGGCTGTGTTCTTTCTCCCCTACTCTTCTCCCTGTACACCAACCACTGCACCTCCAGCCACAACTCTGTGAAGCTGATCAAGTTCGCGGACGACACCAACCTCATTGGACTCATCTCCAACAACGATGAGTCCGCCTACAGGAGGGAGGTGGACCGGCTGGTGTCCTGGTGCAGTGGTAACAACCTGGAGCTGAACACCCAGAAGACAGTGGAGATGATTGTTGACTTCAGAAAGTCCTCCGTGATGGACTCCCCCATCACCTCTGTGGAGTCATTCCATTTCCTGGGCACCACCATCACCCAAGAAGTGGGAGCCGACCATCAGCTCCCTCATCAAGAAGGCCCAGCAGAGGATGTACTTCCTGCGGCAGCTCAGGAAAGCCAAGCTGCCTGCACAGATGTTGGTGCAGTTCTACACGGCCATCATCGAGTCCATCCTCACCTCCTCCATCACCGTGTGGTTCGCTGGAGTCAGGGACAAGCAGAGAAGGTGATCAGCCGCAGCCTCCCATCGCTGCAGGACCTGTACGTCGCCCGAGCTCGCAGGTGGGCTGGTCGAATCACTGCTGACCCCACACTCCCCGCACATGGACTATTCCAACCACTCCCCTCAGGAAGGAGACTATATGGACCATCAGGACCAGAACCTCCCGCCATAAGAACAGTATCTTCTCCTCTGCTGTTCATTCCTTCTCATCAGGACTCACACACTTCTACTGTACAACTCTCACTGCAGTTTTTACAGTTGGTCAACTTTAGTGCATACGGCTTCTATGGGAGAACAAAAACCTACATTTAAATGGACATTCCTCATGAGTTCAGAACTATGAACAGTCTGCTTTGATGGGATGAAAAAAAAAAAACAGTTAATACGAGAACAGAACAATACTCAGATCGGCTTTGGTTTCGGCATAGCTCATCACCATCTCATCATGGACGTGTGATAATCTGAGCTCTGAGGAGGTAGGCAGGAACAGGCTAAGAGGCTTAGAGACAGGACCCTGTGTTTGCCTGGAAAATACAGATTAAAAATATTAGTATGAGCTGACATCACAACAGCTCTACATGAGAAATGTATACATACTCTGTCCATAACTGTCCGTAAAATGTACGGTGAGGAAACCATAGACTGTATACAGTATGTGCACTATGAAACCAAATGTGTCCACTGTCCCTTTACTTTACTCATCAGTGCAATACATTTTTTAATAATGTCAGAATGTACAATATAGAACCACACTGCAAGAAATGTATAGATGTACTATATATTTCTTGCACAAGAATATACAGTTTGTTGTATTTACTTCTTTATTATGCTAAGGTTATAAACTTATATGTATTTCTTATAAGCCAAAGTCAGAGATTTTATACTTAATTTTTGCTTCTTCATGACACTAAAGTTGAAAATTGTATACTTGCTTATTTACTATGCTAAATTTAGTTTAGACATTATTCATGTGACTTGTGCTGTGTGCATCTCATTCCTACAGTTCTGTGGCCGGTGATGCAACACTTGAGAAGACTTGTTAAACGACACAATAAGAAGTGCAATATCTTTGTGCAATGAATCACAGAAATACCAAGTGACCCGTTGTCAATGCGTCAAAACAAATATTGGTCTTGTATCCCTTGAAAGGCTTGGCTAACCTGCCATATTACATCCAATTTATTCAGACCAAAATCATCGGCAATAGGCATGGGATTTTTGTGCTAATGGAGATGACAGCATAGTGTAGTCTCCTTCCATTAGTACTGGCTCTGCATTATCTCTGAATGCTAATAGTGAAGGGAGCAGTATTAACATTGTTTCATGGTAAAATGCCTTCTTCCTGTAGGCAGATGCTAAAACCTGTCCATGATTAAGATAAGATCGACTTATTGATCTCACACAGGAGATATTTACATGTCACATCTGGCATGGATAGAGTTAAATGTTAAATTCAGGATAAGTTATGTACAATCCAAAGTGACAATCAAGAAACAGTGTCAATAGTAGTGCAGGTTTTTCAAGTGACTTAAAGTACAGTCTGACAGCGGTGGGGATAAAGGCCCTGCGGTAGCGCTCCTGAGGGTGCCTCAGTCTTCCACTGAAGGAGCTCCTCAGCTCCTCTACAGCCCTGTGCAGTGGGAGGTGTTGTTCATGATGGAGATGACTTTGACCAGCAGTGTTATGTAACACTCATGGCTTGGTATTGGTATGTCATAGTCCTGCACATAAAAAGCTTATCTTTATTGTTCTAAATATCATTAGGTCGATGATTCAAATGATTCAAAAAATTATTTTTCCATAATATTGAATTTGTGTTACACCATTTTAAAGCTTGTTTTCTCAGAAAAACCACCATGTTCAGTTCAATTCAATGTATTGTTGTATAATTGTACTTAGAAAATTTGGACCTCGCACTCCTCTCTCTCACGGATGTTGAGACAAGTGAAGGAATCATTTTAAAGTAAAACAATGAAAGATGGCTTGCTCTGATTATGCAATTTTAACATTTTGGAATATTAAATAAACACATTTTAATTTAAACGAAGGAGCTTTCACGTGTTATTCTCACATTATAATCAAGTTGATAATCACAAACTATATTCCCTTTTCTTTCCAATGGTGTCACACTCAAGCAATTAGGACTATGCTTTTCCAACCGAGGTTTTTGCACATAGCTATATCATAAAACAATAACAAAAACAGACAAGGATATCTTAATAGCTTTATTATCACTTCAGAAAACGAAAACTCAAGGACGATGTTTGACTTCAAACATCAGTTTGCACAGACAACATTGTTGTTTAAAAGATATGTTGTAACTATTATCGGTATGTGAACAATGTACTGAGATAAATGGCATTTTCATGAAAGCAACAAAAAAACAAATACTCCAGTGTGAGCTTGAAATACAGACACACAGTCAGATCTATTGCCTTAGTTTCATAGAAAAGTGTTGAAGAAGTTGATGAAACCACTTGGATATGAACATGAACTAAAAACCATTTGTTATACCAAGACGTGAAGTGGAGCAGATAATCTTCACTTCTGAATGTTGGGAACAGTGTGTAGTCAGGGCATTATGACTGTGTGAGTGAACATGCAGAGTACGGACTGGTTTTATGATGTGGAAAAAGAAAACGCACCAGTTTATTCTTAGAGCAAGAAAAGCAGCATTGATTATCCAGGACACTCAACAATCATCATCGTTTATGGATATTTATCAACAATTATGGACATTGGTCATCTGCCCTTTGTGGACCATTGTTTGTTGCAAATTCATATAATAGAGTAAATTGAATGAAAAGTATGATTCCAGACCTTCAGTGCTCAAAGGGCTCAGGCAGAGGACTTACATTGGTGGTGTGATGTCTTTGAACAACGTTAGTGAGCACTGTTACATCACTGGGGCCGTGTTAGTGCGTTTGTTAGTGTTTGTGCATTTGTGTGTCTGTGCAGTAGAAGTGGGTGGATGACAGAATGTTTGTTGACTCTCAGATGGGGCTGTTAAATATAATCTGCTCCTGGGGCCGTGTGGACGAGGTCAGGGCTCAGCTGCACGGCTCCGGGACGACTGACTCTGGCACCAGGACCGGCCATGTGCCCCATGTCTGAGAGTGACACCAGTCCATGATTTTTATTTGTATTTATCTTAAAAGGTATTTATTAGAGTTGTGAACACATAAAAAACCAGGTCTAATATTATAGTCTGGAAGGTAAGAACTGGACATTCAGAGTGATCACACTGTTGTCTTGTGATTCAAGATAGAGATTTAATACTTGTCTTTTTTATGCTAAAGCTAGCAGGACATGAAATGGAAAAACCCACTAGGCCCCCACAACCCCCCAGTCGCCCAAAAACACCCACCGTTCAATTCTGTTACATGTTTGGCTAACCATAAAATAGGACAGTGTAACTTTTTCAACAGTATGTGCCAACTGACAAGAAAAGGACTGCTATCATACAGACACATTGTGGTTTGACCAGTGGGGGCGGGTCACGGCTCAAAAATGTACAAAATGACGTGCATTGACAAGCTTGAAATACCACCCCGGGCCGGTGGGGATGGACCAAGCCCCAGTGATCCACGTCTGATACGA